GCCTACACAGTGTAGGATGCTGGAGGCACTGGCCCTGCGCAGGACACTGCTCCCCCACACAGGAGCCCCAGAGCCTCAACTCCCCTCTGCCCCACCTCCAGACCGGGCTGGGGAGATGAAAGCCAGGCCGGGCTCTGTTTGATGTTACCATTCACCTCCTGTTATTTCTTCCCCCTGTGGGGATGGGGACCAAACCAGAGAGCCCTCCCTGTCTGTGTGTGGCTGAGCCCAGCGCTCCCCGTCAATGCCTGGCTTGTTCAGGTGGGCCCCGGCGGGAGCAGGAGACATTCCACAGCTCCCTGCCGAAACCGCTGGGAATGTCACACTGGGATGGGGGAAAAAAAAAGAACAGAGCAGGGGAAAAAAACCTAACGGCATCCAGCTCCAGGGCCCACCTGGAAGATGAGAAGATGAGAATTGTCTGGGCTGGGAAAAGGGTGGCAGAGGAGCAGGAGCAAACAGCCTGGGCTCCCTGGGGCAAGGCACAGAGGTATCTCCAGGCACCCCAGCTCTGGCACGGTGTCTCACAGTGTTACCAGGGACACTCCAAGACTCACCCAGCACCATCCCAGGCTCTCTCTCACCCAGAAAGAGAGGTGCCAGCAGCACATCTGGCAGCACCAGCCCCAGCTTTAAGTACCTAGAGCCCCAGCCGCCTCAGGCAGGCAGCCGGCACTTTGCGGGAGCAGAGCTCTGAGGAATCGGCACTGATGGGCATCAAAAGGACTGGGAGGGCCAACACCAAACCATTCACCTTTGTTGCCTGTACAAACCCACTGTTAGGACTTACCGCAGGGCTCATATCAAAGAGTAGCTCCCACCAACCTCAGAGCTATTCAAGGCTGCCTGCAGACTCAGGAACACAAGTTCTAGACTAGTTTTGGAAAGTCCTTTCTACAGCCATAAAAGCTGCAGGATTTTCAGCAAGACAGCTGGCAGGTTTAATTCTGGCCCAACAAGCAATGACAGGGACAAATAAGCTCCTGGTCTCAGGCCTGTGCCAGTTAAGGCAGGAGCAACACCAGCACCCTCTGGCTGGCTGACCCACCCCGGGAAGGCGCTGGGAGTAGCAGTGAACACCACCTCCTCACATGCTTGGTACGTCTGTGATTGCTGCATCAGAGGTGGCATCTCAGGTCCCTGGTATGAGCACACAAGAGTTTTGTGCTCCACAAGGGCTCCTCAGAAACACCTGAGCCCTTTGCAGGTCCCTTCCCAACCTGTCCTGCAAAGCCAACCAGCAGAACTGGAGACTCACATTCTTTCTAGTGGCTCTTCCAGAAAATGCCATTTCCAGTGGAC